TTTGCTCTAGAGAAGAAATCGGATGATTTAAGGGCACAGGACGGCTCCTGGAAGCTGCAGTGGTGATGACAACAAAACCAACCTCAGTCCTGGTCCAGAATCAGCCCCGTTTGCAGGGAAACGAGGGAGTGAAATCCCCTTTCTCCGAGAGGCTGGAAATCCACAGGCAGATCGTTATCAGGAAGTGTGAGGAACTGGAAGATGACGGGGAATGAAGATGAGGATGGAACGATTAGATTTAAGCGGCCAAAGGGGCTGAGCAGGGAGAAAAGGGGAAAAAACCTGGCAAAATCTGAGCTGGGATGGCCTCAGAGGGAAGTTTTTGGGTGCATGGCTCCCTTCCTAAAAGCCCGGCCAGCTCCTGCTGCTCCGCTTCGCTTCAAGAGAAATTTAAGAAAAGGGATGAGGAGGAAAGTGCACGTGAAGGAGTAATTAATTTGTGTTCTTCTAAAAACACCCCAAAATTAGAGCACGGCCCTGCTTCCCCCGAGAGCAGGCAGCACGGCCCAGCTCCATCCTGCCTCCGGCTGCACGCAGAACACCCTGCAAGGCTTTAGGATTTCCACAACATCGGTGTTTTAATTAAAAAAAAATCCCAGAACCTGACTTTAACGATGCTGCACAGCCAGGACGAGGCACAGGGCGGGTGGGCACGCGGATGAGAGGCAATATTCAGCAGGCAGAGCCTCATCGGGGGGCAGCTTCTGGGTGATCCTACAAGAGCGAGGCATTTACTGGGTTTGGGACAGTCCCAGCCCTGCTATGTGTCCCTGTTATTGGTCCCGGCAGCACGGGGACACCATTTCACAACACAGGCCACCTGTTTTTCACTGAAATCCAGCTGTTACTTCACAAAAACAGCCTCCGAGATTCGTTTCATCAGCGATCCCATAAAAGTAGGGTCCTAAAAACCAGGCACGGAGCCCCGGCAGAGGCTGCCTCACTGCTGGGAACACCCCAAATCCCTTTGAGGCAGGGAAATAGTTAGTTACCCTAAAGTGGAGGACTTCCAGCTCCAGCCAAGAGCCTGTCCAGGCAGGGGGAGGCTCCAAAACGCCGCATTCAGCCCTAAAAACAGCAAGGGGATGCCCTAAAAGTTGTGATTTAGGCAACCGGGATCCCCCTGCCCCCTTTTGGTTTGGTTTGGGCAGGACAAAGCGGGGATTTAGGGGCAGGTAGCTCTGCCCGCCCCGGGTGGCATTGAGCTGGGGTTTATTTATAAACCCCGAGCTGTGCCAGCGGCTCTGAGGGTGCGGGGTGAGGAGTTTTGGGGCTCTCCCAGCCCCAAAAAAAAGACCACGAGCACCTCGTTGCTCGTCCCCAGGTGCCACCACGCCGCTCCCCTCATCCTCGGGGACTTCTTTAAAGCAGAGCAGGAGGCAGCGTGGCACGGCCTTGGGAAATTCACATCCAGATGGGGGAAAAAATAAAGGTTTCTTTCCAGAATTGTCTCTCCTTAAAGGAAAAAAAATAATAAAAAAACAAAAGTGGTGAGGGAAAGCCGGCCGCCGAGCCCTACCAAAACAAGACATTCCAGCACAACGCTCGCTCTCCTCTTCCCCTGGGGACAGGCCAAGGAGAACAAAGGCACGTGACGGCCCCGTTGCTCAACGCGCCCTTGGAAGGGGTTCAAGCCGGGCGATAAGCCCGCTGCGCCGGGCAGAAAAGAGGAATTTTAGCCCCAAAACAAACCCCGGCCTACCCTCGGCCCATCTTTGCAGAGCACAAAGCGAGTTGCCAGTGGTAAGGGCTCGGTGGTGCTTTTATTCCTCGGGACGAGCCTAAAATTAAGCAGGGAAAACACCCGACGGCTCCACGACCCTGTAAACTGGTGGGAACTGGGAGATCCTGGTGGGAACTGGGAGATTCCTGGTGATCCAGGCACTATTTTTAATTCCTTCCACACACCGAGCAGGGCACCGTTTCCTTTTTTTCCCCCACTGCCAGCCCCGTTGCTTAAAAATAGAGCCGGGAGCATCCAGCCACAAAAGAAATCAGCACCAAATCCAACTCCTGGGGTAAAATAAGAAAAGGTGGCTCTGGGGCGGCCGTTGGGGATCCAGGGGGGGTCTCAGGGACTCCCCCCTTGATGGGGTGAAGGCCTTGGGGCCGAGGTTTCCCCCATCAGCTGTAGGCTCGCTCCGCCCCGGCCGTGGTTTCCGGGTAGTAACAGAGCAACCAATCCGCGGAGTTGCGAGCTCTGCCCGAGGCCTCTCTCGCTTGCAAAAAACACGGCGAGGAGGAGGCCGAAGGCTCGCCCCTAAAAGCTCGGGGGGGAAGCAAAAAGATCCCCCCCCCACCCCCTCCATCAGGAGCCCGGAGTTGGGGGCGCTCCCTTTTTACCCCACAAATCGGCGCCCGGCGGATCCTAAAAGGTTTTGGGGTGCGGGCACGGCGCCCCCCGGCTCTGTAAGGGTTTGGGGTCACCTGGAGAAATTTTTGGGGCTGTAAAGGGGGCTGCAAACCTTCCTCCCCCCCCCCAAAACATGGGGACGGCGGCTGCAGCGCGAGCAGGGGAGAAACAATGAGTGACTCAGAGTTTCAGCACATCCTCGCCCAGGCGAGGTTATTAAAAACCCCAAGCAAGGGGCTTCCCCCCCCCCAACCCCTCGGTTGAAATCCACGGGGAGAGCCTGAGCTCCCCCCGAGCTCACAAAGAGGGGGGGGGCGTCCACAAAAAGGCCCCGGACGATTTAGGATTGAAAAACGGGGAGAAAAAATTAAAAATGATTAAAAATCAAAAGCCCCCGCTCGGCTCCTGGAGCTGTCAGAGCTTGGGGAGGAGGCGTTTGCTTGAGCTGTGCCCCCCCCTCTCTCTAAAGGCGCCCCCCCAGCGTGGATCCGCGCCGTTATTTCCCCAGCAGGAAGGCGAAAAAGAGGCCGAAAAGGGAAAAATGCCACGAAAATGGCAGCAGAAACGGGGATAAAAGCGCCGCGACAACAAAACCCTCCAGCCCCCGGGGGGGGGAGAGGGCTCCACAAACATTCCTCCAGACGCCCCCAATCCTTCGGTGCCCACCAAAATGCACCCAGGAGGGGGGGTTCGGGGTAGATCCTAATTTTGAGCTCCCCCCGGGATTTGTTTTTAGGGCTCGGGGAGCAAAAGCGGGGCCTAGGGAGGCAAACAAACAAAAAAAAAAAGGTTGGGGAGGGAGGGAGGGAGGGAGGAGCGGCGAGCAGTCATCTGACACACGCACAACTTCCCAAGTTTGTTGGCCGCAGGACGCCGGCCGCTCAAAACCCCAAAAACACCGAGGGTTATGGGGTGATGAGGAGAGCTGGGCTCCGGGGAGAGCTTCCCTCGGGTTTCTTTTGTCAGGGAGAGAGCAGAAAGGAGATGTTGAGGGCTCAAAAACCTACCAGCGCACGGCCCCGGAGCCTCTGGAAATGGGAAAAGGGAGAGGAGAGGTTTCGGGAAAGCTGCTGGCTCTGAAAAGCTGCTCTTTGTCTCCCAAAACGGGGATGCCGGCTTCTAAAGGAAGAAAAATAAAGAAAAGGAAGAAAAAAAAGGGCAGGGGGAGGGGAATGGAGAGAGGCAGCAGCTCAGCTCGGGCCTTGGTCCCTCTCCAGCTCGGAGCCCTCCTGGCACTGGCCCTATCCGTGATTTTTGGGGGGAAAAAGGGGACAAAATTAAAAAAAAACAACAACAAAAAAAACCCAAGCAGCTGGAATCGCCGACCCTCCTCCCGGCCGCGATTCGCCCTGTGTGTGTAACTTTAAACCCCCCGGATAAAAATAGCCCCGATTCAGCCGTGATCGCCACTCATTTCCTATTTGCTCAAAGAAAAAAATAATAAAAAAACACAAAACCAACCAAAAAAAAAAAAAACAACCACCGCCACCAAAATACGCCGAGGGGAGCAGCGAGCACGCCGAACGTCAGCACAAGTTTCCTTCGACCAGCCACGAACGGCGGCGCTCTTCCTTTTCCCCCCCCCCTCCACCCCCCAAAACCCCTAAAAAAAATAACCCCAAAAGCCAAATAAGTTTGGTTATCTCGCCGGGACCGAAATCAGACCTCGAGCTCTCGGAGGGGGGAGGCCCAGGGGAAGATTTTGGGGGCTGTTGTCATCCGTGCCCCCCCCTCCTCAGCGCACGCCGCTGCCTTGTAAACAAAACCTATTAATAAAGCGAGCCCCTACCCCAAATTCCTGATGTTTTCCATCCCGCCCACGCTCCGGAGGGAGGCAGGGGAAAAGGATTTGCCCCCCCCACCAAGGGGCAAGAAGGAGAAAAGAGGGGAAAGGAATAAAAAAATAAAAGAAGGAAGGAAAAATATAAACAGATCCAGGCTGAGGGGGGGGGGAACCTACCCTAACCTGGCGTGTTACATAAACGGGACCTCCTCCCGGCCCCAAAAAGCCCTTTCCCCACCCGTTGGTGAGGGGTTATTTGGAGATAAACCCCCCCCCAAAATAAAAAATAAACCCTAACTTAAAGCCCTGAAGCTGGCAGCTTCGTGAAGGGCAGGCTGCCATTATGGGGGGGGGATAATAACCCTAATAAAAACCCCAAAAAGGGTTTTTTTGGGGGGGGGGTTGGGGCCACCCGGGGAGTCCTCATAGCGGGCAGGGGGGTTAATGGGGAGGGGGCTGGGGGGGGACACCCTTAGGGTTAGGGGGGGTGCCAAAAAAGGGGGAAAATCCCCCAAAAAAAGGGAAATAAGGGGGGATTTGGGATTTTTTTTGGGGGGTGAGGCCTTTCCTTGGATAAAAGGGGGGGCTCCAGGCTGTGGGGGGGGGCCCCGTCCGGCCTTGCTGTGAGGCGAGGCCTGGGCCTGGCCTGACAAAAGGGCGATAAAAGGAGGGGGGGGGGGCGATAAAAGAGGGGGTGTCGCGATAAAAAGGAGGGGGATATCGCGATATAAAGGGGGGGTGTCGCGATATAAAGGGGGGTCGGCGATACCGGGGGGACACCGGGAGGGGGAAAAGCGATACGGGGGGGGGGTTCCCGGTCCCCCCCCAAGGAAGAAGAGGAGGAAGAAGAGGCCCCAAGGATACAGCTTGACCACGTCGGTGTCCATCCGCCGCTTGCCCGGGCTGGGGGACGACATGGTGGCCGCCGCCCCCGGGGCTCCGGGCGGGCTGTCAGCGCCGCTGAGGAGGAGGAGGAAGAAGAGGAAGAAGAAGAGGCTCAGCCGGGACCCAAAAGAGCTCCAAGGGTGAGAAGGGAGCGCGATCGGGGCTCTCCCTCTTCAAGCGGGGCCGGGGTCGCGGCCGCCGCCCCCCTCCTGTGGTGCCGCCGCCGCCGCCGCCGCCTCAGCCCCGCTCCGGTCGCCTCAGCCCCGAGCCTCACTCTGGCCCCGTGACGTCACCCGCAGTGACATCACCGCCCCGCCGGGCTGCTATTGGACGAGGCGGCTCAGGGCCCGCCCGGAGCGCGGGGGGTGCTGGGAGTTGTAGTTCCCACAGGGGGGTTTTGTAGTTCGCAGAGCGGGGGTGGGATGCCAAAGGCCGCGGGTTCGAGGCTGCTGTCGGGAGGAAAACGGGGAGGGTTTGGGGTTTGGGGGAAATTGTGGTGATTTAATGGGGGTTTACCTCACAATTCAGCCCGGGAAAACACCGTGGTACCCTACGTGTCCCCACGGAACTCCACAGGGTCTCAGGTGGCCTCAGGGAGGGCAGCAACGTTGCCCTCCAGCCGCCCCAAAAATTTGTGGGGTCGTATTTAGGATCGCCTCACAGCATCATCATGAGGCACACCACGGGATTTGGGATGTCGTGCTGCTGAGGCATCTCGCCCTGCCTCGGTTTACCCAACCGGACAGGGCAGAGGAGGCACCCGGAGGTGACAGCGGGTGGCAGGAGGGTGACATTAGGGGATATTTTTCGGGATGCCGTGGCACCTCCACGCCCCAGGGCGGACATCCCGCATTCCTGACCCCGGCATCACCACAAATTCACCCAGCGTCACCTCCCCGTGCCTGCGATGAGCCAGCACCGCTGTGCACGGGGAGGCCACGCAACCAGGGAACCCCATAAAATCCCCACCCTATATACGAGCCGGGGGTTGTTTTTTCCTCAATTTAGGGCCCCGACGTCCCTCAGCTGCTCCTCCGTCACGGGGCAGGATGTAACCCGCTGCCGAGGGGTTGGATTCACATCCTGGGTGAGTTAAACCCGGAGGAATCCGGGAGGAAAACAGCAATGGGGTCAGCGGTGAGTAAAGCTGTGGGGTTACGGGGTCCCCGTTTCCCCTGACTTTGATGCTCCTCGGTCACATCCAGGCAGCAAAATGGGGAAAAAGCCTTTTTTTTCCTTTATTTCTTTAAATAAAATGGGGTGATTGGGACCACGATGGCATCCTGACCCTTTTTTGGGGGGGGTTATCCTTGGGGCTGAGCTGCTGGCGGTCCTGGAGCAGCACCCACACATCTGTGGGATCCCATGGGATCCCTGTAGGTGGGCTCACAGTGGGGTTGGGGACCCTCTAAATCCCCCCCATGCCTAAAAACAGGGGGTTGAGGCTGGCCGGGGTGAGCAGGGATTATGGCATCACGCCCCCCACCCCACTGTGACACTGCCCCGTGCTTTGTGGGGTGGGCGAGAGAACAGAAGGGACTGGGGAGCCCCCTGAGACAGAAAAAAACCCGAAATTTGTGATCCATGGGGTGAAGGACCACAGGTCCTCTTCAGGAAGGAAGGGAACACCTTCCCTCAAACCCTAGGTGTCCCCCAGAAGCCCCCCCAGAGCCATTTGCAGGTAAACCTACAAGTTTTGGGGTTCAGGGCCGGCCACGGTGGCACCGTTGTGACTGAGGGCAGGGACCAGCCCCAAGCACAGTGGCTGTTCCTTCCTGGGAACAGGGAAACCAGAAAATACCCCAAAAAGATGAGATGGTGACGATTCTGTGGGATGCTCTAATAGGGAAACCGAGGCAGGACCCCGGTGTGATGAGCTCCTGGCTCAGAAACATCCCGACCCCTAAAATAGGGTCAAGGGAGAGCTTTTGCTCTGAAATATGGGAACACCACATCCCTGTGCCTTTTCCCCCACAAATTTGAGAGCAGCAGACCCAAAGTGAGGAGGCCCAAGGCTGCTCTGGGGGCAGCTGTGGGGTCTGAGCCCTCCCCAAAGCCCCTTCCACATCCTCGAGGGTGGAGACACCAGCTCGGGGTTTCCTCCCTCACCTTTTTCTCCCTCTTTTGTGGGAAAGGAGATCACCACCCAAGCCAGGGGAATCCCCCGAGCAACATTTTCCCTATTTTTTGGCCCCAAAGCTCCTGCCTGGGCGATTTATCACCCCGGGACAGACGACGGGGACATTATCTGCTCCCAGCAGCTTGGGAGCTGATAATGCTCTTTGCCTCGACCCCGCTGCCGTCCCGGAGCTCATTTTACCCCCCAAAAAAAGAGCCACAGAAGCCGTAAGAAAAACCATGAAATGTTTATTCCCACCTGGCATCACCCCGTGCTGCTGGGGGGCAGGTCCCAGCCGGACCCCAAATCACCCCCAGCAGGGTGACCGCGTCCCCCTCGGTCACCCCGCGCAGTCGGAGCTGTCGAAACCCTTGGGGTTGAGGGTTACAGCAGCACCTGGTGAAGGTGAGGGGGGCTTCGAGGAAGGCTTTTGGGGTTCAGGGGGGTCCCCGGAGGCTGTTTTGGGGCTGTTTTGGCACTGGGGCAGCCCGGGGATTTCTCAGCACACGTTGGAAGCTTCCCCGGTGGTTCGGTGCCGGAGCGAGGCGCTGCCCGGTGTCCCCCCCCTCAACGAGGGGCTGCGTGAGGTTCCCCCGGAGGCAGCAGCAGGTTCAGGAGGGATCCACGCTCTCCCACTGGCGGAAAATGCGGAAAACCTTGGAGGATTTCACCGAGAGGCTCTGCGGGAGAAGGAAGAGAGGTCAAAGCGCCTCCAGACCGGCCCTACAGACCCCAAAAGCATCCTGAAATACCCCCGCTGGCTAAAAGGACATCAGCGAGCGTCTTTTTTTGGTTTTAGAGCCGTTTCCCAGCAGGAAAATCACGAGGGAAAAGCCCTTTGGGGAGCTGCAACTCGTAGGAAGGGCTCGGGACAAAGGGTGAAGCGGGAGGGCTGCAGCTCAGCCCCGAGCAGGAGCAGCTAACGGGGTTTTTGGGGGCACCCAACACCCCCAGGCTCAGCAAAGCCGCAGCTCCACGAGGCTGGGAGCTCTCCAGCAGGACACGAAGTGAAACTGGAGCTGAGGAGGGTCGGTATTTATAGCAGGCTCACCACGGGCTCGCTTTCGGGCGCTCTGTCACATTTTTTGAGGGTCAGGAGCAGGTTGAGGATCGCTCGCCAGCCGGGCTCTGCTTTGGGGGGCTCCTCCTGAGCCTGGGCTGCGGAATCCTGCGAGGCCTCCGCGCCCTCCACCGCGTTGACCCAGGGGCACCAGTCGCGATGCTGTGAGCTGGGATCGAAGAAACTCCTCGAAGAAACATCCTGGGAAGGCAGAGAAGACAGGAGAAAAGGATATCAGCCACGGGATATCTTAAAACAGGCCATAAAACCCTCTCCGTGCCCAAACGCCGGCCGGGAGCCATCCCAGAGCTTCACCTCCCCAAATTTTTGCTCCCTCCCGGCCCCGTGGCACTCACCGAGCTGCTGGAAGAGCAGAGCCGAGCCCGTTTGGCCCTGCGGACGGGGCTGGAGGGCACGTCCACGTTTTCCCCTTGCCCCATGCTGCGGGTAACGGGGCGGCTGCGCGGCGCGGGGCTGGCCGCCTCCAATTCTCCTCCTCGCTCCCCGGGGCTGGGGGAATCCCAAATCCGTGGGCGAGAGACCGCCGGGGATGGGCTCTTCTCCTGCTGCCAGAGGGAAAAGGATGAGAATTAATTACTGGGGGAACCCTCCCGGGAAGGAATTCTGCAGGAAAAGAGCTAGGGACATGCTCCTGCTGGTGGTGTCGCTGCTGATGGGTGTAGGATCGCCAGCAGGTTGGAGGGGTTTTGATTTTGGCGCTCTGCTCAGCGCTGCTGAGGCTTCCCCTGGGGAACTGGGTCCAGTTCTGGGCTCCCCAGTATGAAATGGGGGTGGACGGAGCGGGGAGAGCTCGGTAAAGGATAATCAAAACGCTGAAAGGGGTTTAAATATCTCTGATATGGGGAAAAGCTGAAAGCTGGAGCTCAGGAGGTTCCCTCTGAATACCACGAAGCATTTTTGGGTTGGGAGGGTGCCGGAGCCCTGCCCCAAGCACCCAGAGGTTTTGGTGTCCCCTCCTCGAGGATCTTCTTGGACGTGGGGCTGGGCACCAGCTCGGGGTGGCACCAGAAGGACCCCAAATGTCCCTTCCACCCCCAACCATTCCGTGGTTCTGTGAATCCTCAGGCCACCAGCACTCCTGAAGGGGCCAGGGAGGCGCTGCCCAGCTCAAATCAGACACCAAAACCCATAGCAGAGCCCCTTTTAGGGTAGCAGGCACCCAAACCACCTCACCCTCAAGGCCTTCCAACCCCCCACAACCCCAAAACCCGAGCCTGCTGGCCCTACCTGCTCGGAGCCTGGAGGAAAAACGTCTTGGCTCCGTGTCAGCATCCTGCGTGGGGACGTGGGCACGGGCGGGCAGCGCTCGGAGGGTCCCGAATCCGTCTCCAGACCCCCGGGATCGAGCTGGTGGAAACCCCACAAGCCCACCTTCCTCATGCAGCGCGAGCAGGTGATGACCGAGAGGAGCGAGGAGCCGGACACGGCGCTGCGGGGACGGAGCCGAGGCACGGGGGAAGGTGAGGACGAGCCCAGGACCTTCCCAAAAATCGCAGCTTTCATAAAGGGAGCAGGTTTTGGGAAGGGTCACGGGTTCACAGCCTCAGCTGAGGGGCAGACAGTTATAGGTTTCGCAGCCCAGTGTGCTGAGAAGGACGTGGAACCCCCCCGAGTCTCCCTGATTTAAATTCTCCTTCCCATTTCGGCTTGCAGCACGCTCAGCTTATCCACCCAGTGCCCAAAAACATCGCTGCCCCCAGCCCCAACAGCTTTCAGCGTGGAAATCGGCACCGAACTCAAAGCCATGGTGTCTCTTCAGACCCTTCCCCACTTCGGGAAGAGATTTTTTGAAAGATCTTTTCGTCCTGGGGGCAGCCAAGCTACTCACCCGCAGGTCCAGCCGCACAGCGCCAGGACGCAGGCGGACACGTGCAGGGGCAGAGCCTCCGAGGAGAGCTTCAGCGGCGCCTTCTCGCCCTCTGCCTTGAGCTCCAGCTCCTCCCGGAGCAGCTGGAGGAGCGAGGCGATCTTCTCCTCCGTCAGGGACTGCGGGAAGGGAAGAGAGAGGCAGCAGAAGGGGTGGGCAGAGGCAGCGCTCACCTTCCTGCGAGTCCAGCGGTGTTTTGGGGCTGGATTTGCCCCCCGCAGCCCCAAATCTGGCAAGTTAGCCCGGCAAAATACCCACAAACCACACAAGGCGTGGAGAAAGATCCAAATTCACCGCCCCGAGGGGCACGAGCCAGCATGCTCAGCCCTTAAATTCCGTGCTTAGTAAGACGATGGCAAGAGCCAGCTACAACCGTGTTGGGAAAGGGTTTGCATGGCAGAACCCCCCCCAAACCCACAAGAAACCCCCCCAAATGCAGCAGAACCCCCCCCAAATGCAGCAGAAACCCCCCCAAACACCCCAAAACCAGGGCAGAGAGGAACTCACCATGGTTTTCATGTCCTCGGCTCGGAGGGAGGGCAGCTGCAGCTCCAGCTGGCACAGGCTCTGGAAGCGCTCCAGGAAATCCTGGAGAAGGGCTCGGGGCTCGTCCACCAGCAGCAGGGCGAAGCGGGCTGGAGGAGGGAAAAAAAAAGGTGGTTTTGGGGCCATCTGCCTCCTCGCCCCTCGTTAGCCCGCAGGGAGAGAGGAAACGAGGCCAGCAAAGGTCTGAGAATGTTATTTTTTAAAGAAAAGCTGCGTTCCTTCGCAGGGACCCGTCCTGGTGCTTGGAAGCACGGAAACATTTTGGTTCAGACCTCCAAGATGAGCAGGAAAATAAAACCTACGAGCCTCCGAGCATCCCAAATCACCCCAAAGATTAAAGAGGAGATGAAAACAGAAGAGATACGAGCCACAGATACAAGAGGAAAAGAGAAAAGGGATGGAAAGGAGATCCCGGAGCCGTGCTGGGCTCTGAGAGACCGACCTGGGCAGGGGTTGTCCGGCCAGAAGCAGAATTTCTCGTGCGCCGTGCTCAAGGATTTCTTCAGCTCGGAGCAGCGCTCCTTGTCTGCAAGGCAAAACCCACTGCTACTCCTCGGGGAAGGGGAGGGGAAGAACCAACAGCAAGCAGGGGCGAGGGGAGCTGCACCCAAACCAGCCCCCAGCCCGGGGGGGGGTTCCTCTCCCCGATTTTATCTCGACCTGGGCTGCTGCCAGACCCCAGCTGCAGGAGCCAAATCGCAGCCCTGCCTGGAAACGAAGCTCCCCTCTCCCTAAAAATCCACGATTTCTTTTAATTTGGCCACACGTTGCGAGTTTCGGAACCAAAAGTTACGAGTTTCAGAACCGAAACGCTCGTTTTAAAGAGGATTTGGGTGGGATTTGGGTGGGATTTGGGCTCGGGAGCCAGCACAGCCCCACAAACACCAAGTCCTGCTCCTGCCCTGCAGGTGCTGAGCACGCCGCAGAGGTCGGTGTTTCCCTGGCACCCTCAGCCCTGCGCTTTTATCGCTCTCTCCCCAGTGTCCCACAGCACCAGTGCGAGGAACCTGAGGCCAACGGGAGGAGTTTTAGGGCTGGAAATCCAACCTGGTGCTAATAGGGCAGCGGGAGGGCTTTCTGAATTGATTTACACGAGCCGAGCGCCTGCACAGACTGGCAGCACCAGCAGCTCCCTGCCCTTCTTAAATAAGAAAAGTTTCAAGTCTTTTTAGCCAAGTCAAAGCGTTTTTAGTCAAGTCAAAGCGTTTTTAGCCAAGTCAAAGTCTTTTTAGGCAAGAAAAACCAGCCGAGGAGCAGCCCAAGGAGCCTGGAAACCCACCTCCGACAGCACCAGCAGGGATTTTTACCACTTTCTCACAAACTAAAGGAACTTTCTTAGCTTTGCATTTCATTTCCAGGGCCAGGAGGTGCCCGGCGCCACCCAACCAAGCCCACAGGAGCCATTTGGGCAGCCAGCGAGGTGCAGGATCCCAAAAGCTGGCTGTAGGATCGCTGCCCCTGCCCTCAGCCCCCCCCAAGGGATAACTCACACTTGGCGAAGTCGAAGGCGAGCTGCAGGCTGGCGCAGAGGAAGGCCTGGCAGCTGGAGCATTTCAGCATGTCGCACTCCACGTTGGCCCAGCCGTACCTGGCGCACACCAGCGGCGACAGCTCGTGGGGCTTGCCCGCCCACTTCAGCGGGTGCCGGAGTTAAGGATAAAACCCCCAAAACAACCCCAAAAATCTGTGTAAAATCCGATTTTAGATGCCTCGTTCCTCACGGACAAAACCCCAAAATCCCTGTAGATCTCTACCTTTACACACCTCATTCCTCATGGACAAGACCCCAAAAATCCCTGGTTAATCTCCACTTTCAGATGCCAGATTCCTCACGGACAAAACCCCAAAATTCCCTAAAATCCCCTGGCTAATCTCCTCCTTTAGATGCCTGGTTCCTCACAGACAAAACCCCAAAATTCCCTTGTTCATCTCCACCTTCAGACACCTCATTCCTCATAGACAAAACCCCCAAATTCCCTGGTAAATCTCTACCTTTAGACATCTGGTTCCTCACGGACAAGACCCCAAAATCCCTGCAAATCTCCACCTTTACACACCTCATTCCTCACACACAAGACCCCAAAAATCCCTGTAAATCTCCACCCTTAGACGCCTCGTTCCTCACAGACAAGACCCCAAAAATCCATGGTTAATCTCCACCTTCAGATGCCTTGTTCCTCATGGACAAAACCCCAAAATTCCCTGGTAAATCTCTACCTTTAGACATCTGGTTCCTCACGGACAAGACCCCAAAATTCCCTGTAAATCTCCACCTTTAGACGTCTCATTTCTGACAGAGGAAACCCCCAAAATCCCTGTAAATTTCCACCTTTAGACGCCTCGTTCCTCATGGATAAAACCCCCAAAATTCCCTGTAAATCTCCACCTTTTGACGCCTGGTTCCTTATGGACAAAATCCCCAAAAAACCTGTAAATCTCCACCTTCAGATGCCTGGTTCCTCACAGACAAGATCTCAAAATTCCCTGGTTAATCCCCACCTTTATACACCTGGTTCCTCACAGACAAAACCCCAAAATTCCTTGGCTAATCTCCACCTTTAGACACCTTGGTCCTCACAGACAAAACTCCCCAAAATCCCTGTAAATCTCCACCTTCAGATGCCTCGTTCCTCACGGACAAAACCCCAAAATTCCCTGGTAAATCTCTACCTTTAGACACCTGGTTCCTCACGGACAAGACCCCAAAAATCCCTGTAGATCTCCCCACCTTCAGATGCCTCGTTCTTCTCAGACAAGACCCCAAAAATCCCTGTAAATCTCCACCTTTAGACGTCTCATTTCTGACAGAGGAAACCCCAAAAATCCCTGTAAATTTCCACCTTTAGACGCCTTGTTCCTCATGGATAAAACCCCCAAAATCCCTGTAGATCTCCAGCTTTTGACACCTGGTTCCTCACAGACAAGATCCCAAAAATCCCTGTAAATCTCCCCACCTTTAGATGCCTCATTCCTCACAGACAAAACCCCAAAATTCCTTGGCTAATCTCCACCTTTAGACACCTCACTCCTCACAGACAAAACCCCAAAAATCCCTGGCTAATCTCCTCCTTTAGATGCCTGGTTCCTCACAGACAAAACCCCAAAATTCCCTTGTTCATCTCCACCTTCAGACACCTCATTCCTCATAGACAAAACCCCCAAATTCCCTGGTAAATCTCTACCTTTAGACATCTGGTTCCTCATGGACAAGACCCCAAAATTCCCTGGTAAATCTCTACCTTTAGACACCTCATTCCTCACAGACAAAACCCCAAAAATTCCCTGTAGATCTCCACCTTTAGACACCTCATTCCTCGCAGACAGAACCCCAAAAATCCCTGTAAATCTCCACCTTCAGATGCCTGGTTCCTCACAGACAAGACCCCAAAATTCCCTGGCTAATCTCCACCTTTTGATGCCTCGTTCCTCACGGACAAAAGACCCAAAATTCCCTGTAAATCTCCAACTTTAGACACTTCGTTCCTCACAGACAAAACCCCCAAAATCCCTGGTAAATCTCTACCTTTAGACGCCTCATTCCTCGCAGACAGAACCCCCAAAAATCCCTGGTTTATCTCCATCTTTAGATACCTCATTCCTCACGGACAAAACCCCAAAATTCCCTGGTTAATCCTCACCTTTAGACACCTCATCCCTAACGGACAAAACCCCCAAAATCCCTGTAGATCTCCCCACCTTCAGGCACCTCATTCCTCATGGACAAAACCCCAAAATTCCCTGGATAATCCTCACCTTTTGATGCCTGGTTCCTCCCAGACAAGATCCCCAAAATCACTGTAAATCTCCATCTTCAGACGCCTCATTCCTCATGGATAAAACCCCAAAATTCCCTGTAGATCTCCAGCTTTTGACACCTGGTTCTTCACGGTCAAGACCCCAAAAATCCCTGGTTAATCTCCACCTTTAGACACCTCGTTCCTCATGGACAAAACCCCAAAATTCCCTGGTAAATCTCTACCTTTAGACGCCTGGTTCCTCACAGACAAAACCCCAAAAATCCCTGTAAATCTCTGACTTCAGACACCTCGTTCCTCATGGACAAAACCCCCAAAATCCCTGGCTAATCCCCACTTCCAGATGCCAGGTTCCTCACGGACAAAACCCCAAAATTCCCTTGTTCATCTCCCCCTTCACACACCTCATCCCTCCCAGACAAAACCCCAAAATCCCTGCAGATCTCCACCTTCAGCCGCCTGTTTCCTCACCCGACGGCTCATCCCCTACAAAACCAACCCCGGAAAAGTCGCGGGGAACTTTTGGGGTGGGCAGCAGGATATGGTGAAGGTCTGCACCCTGCTGAAGTAAGCTTCTTTGCTCGTCGACTCCGAGGGGGGGGCATCGGGCTGCGGAGACCCGTTAGCGGCTTGGGGCCCGGCCGCCGCGTCCTTCCTAAAGGGGACAGCGAGAAAAATGTCCTCACCCCCCCAAAAAACCTTCTGTCGCCTCGTCCTCGCCACCGGCCCTTCTTCAGAAGCCCCCGAGCCCCCCCAGTAAGGGCTGAGCCTCTTGGAGCCTTCCCAGTGCCTCCCAGTAAGAACCAAGTGTCTTGGAGCCCCCCCATTAAGACCTAAATTGGTGCCCCCCCGTAAGGACCGAGCCTCTTGGGGTCCCCCCAGTGCCTCCCAGTAAGAGATGAGCCTCTCAGAGCCCCCCCAGTGCCTCCCAGTAAGACCTAAGTCTCTTGGAGCCCCCCCAGTAAGACCTAAATTGGTGCCTCCCAGTAAGAGCTGAGCCTCTTGGAGCCCTCCCAGTGTCTCCCAGTAAGAGCTGAGCCTCTCAGAGCCCCCCCAGTAAGGGCTGACTCTCTCGGAGCCCTCCCAGTGGCCCCCAGTAAGACCCAAGTCTCTTGGAGCCCCCCCAGTAAGACCTAAATTGGTACCCCCCAGTAAGAGCTGAGCCTCTTGGAGCCCCCCCAGTGCCCACCAGTAAGACCTAAATTGGTGCCCCAGCACCTCCCAGTGCCTCCCAGTTCCCCTCCCCGTGCCTCCCAGTGCCCCGTGCTCCCAGCACGCCCCCTGTTACCACCCCCAAATCCCCCCCAGCACCCCCAACCCCTCCTCAGCACCCCCCTACCACCCCCAACCCCCCTCATCACCCCCAAACCCTCCCTCAGTCCCCCACCAGCCCCCCCAAACTCCCCCAGCCCCCCCAACCCCCCCTAAGCCCCCCATAGCACCCCCCAAACCCCCTCTCATCACCCCCACACGCCCCCCAAACCCCCCTCAGCGCCCCCTAAATCCCCCCTCTACACCCTCAAATGCCCCCCAATCCCCCACAGCACCCCCTAAAACCCCCCCTCAGCACCCTTCAAACCCCCTCTCATCACCCCTAAACGCCCCCATCGCCCCCCCAAACCCCCCAACGCCACTCAGTGCCCCCTAAACCCCCTCTCAGCACCCCCCAACCCCCCCATTACCCCCAAGCCCCCACTTATCACCCCCAAATACACCCCATCACCCCCCAACCCCCCCTAAAACCCCCTCTCATCACCCCCCAAACGCCCCCATTGCCCTTCAGCACCCCCTAAGCCCCCCATAGTGCCCCCCAAACCCCCCATCACCCCCCAAACCCCCTCCCATCACCCCCAAACGCCCCCCATCGTCCCCCAAAACCCCCCAACGCCCCCTTAAACCCCCCTCAGCACCCCATAAACTCCCCCAGCACCCCATAAACCCCCCTCAACACCTCCTAAACCCCCCCATCACCCCCCAAACCCCCTCTCATCGCCCCAAACTCCCCCAACCCCCCTCTATCACCCCCAAACCCCCCCTCATCATCCCCCAACCCCTCCCAACACCCCCTAAACCCCTCTATCACCCCCAAACCCCCTCTCATCACCCCCAAACGCCCCCCAACCCCCCCTCAGCACCCCCAAACACCCTCTCATCACCCCCAAACACCCTCTCATCACCCCCAAAACGCCCCCCATTGCCCCCCTAAACCCCTCCCAACGCCCCCAAACCCCCTCTCATCACCCCACACGCTCCCCACCCCAAAACTCTCCACTGCCCCCTAAACCCCTCTCACCACCCTCAATCTCCCCATCACCCCCAAGACCCCCAATGCCCCCTACCCCCTCAGCACCCCCGAACCCCCATCACCCCCAAATGCCCCCCTCCCCAAAATCCCCTCAACGCCCCATTAAACACCCCCATCATCCCCCAACCCCCCCCAACCCCTCTATCAGCCCCAAACCCCCTCTCATCACCCCCCAAACGTCCCCATCCCCCCTCAGCACCCCCCAACCCCCTAAACCCCCTCTAAGCACCCCCAATCCCCCCCATCACCCCCTAAACCCCTCTCATCACCCCCAAACGCCCCCATCCCCCATCGCCCCCTTAAACCCCCCCAGCGCCCATAAACCCCCAGAGCCCCCCAAACCCCTCCCAACGCCCCCAAACCCCTCTCATCACCCCCAAACGCCCCCCATCCCCCCAAATCCCCCCATATTCCCCCAAACCCCCCTCATCCCCCCCAAACCCCCCCCAACCCCCCCCCTCCTCACCTCCATCCCCCCCCCACCCAGGCCCAACGCCCCCCTCCCGCCCCCCCCAACCCCCTCCCCTCCCCTCTAGGCCTCTCCCCACCCCCCCCACGCCCCCACCCGTCGGTGCCGTCCCCCTCCGGGGCGATGCCGCCGTCGATCAGGTCCCGAATCTGTTGCGGGGTGACCCCGGGCGGCCTCCCCCGAGCCCCCGCCGGGCTGGGCGCCGCCATCTTGGTCCCTTCCGTTCCTAAAAAGGGGCCGGGCGGGAAACCGCGACCCCCGCGCGCTTTCGTTCCGCCGCTTTTTTTCGTTCCGCCCTCCCCGCTCGCTCGCTCGGCGCTCGATTGGTTCTGCCTGCCCGCGCCCGCACTCCGCCCTGCCTCCGTCCTTCCCTGCCCGCCTTCCCCCGCCTCGCAAGAAGGCCTCGCCTCATTGGCTCCTCCCCTAGAAGCCGCCCGCTGATTGGGCGGCGCGGGGGTGGGAGGGAAGCCGCGGTCTGGTAGGCGGCCGGGAAGGGGACTGGGGGCCATGGCGGCGGCGGCAGGAGGAGGAGGAGGAAGAAGAGGAGAAGATGAAGAAGAAGAAGAAAAAGGAGGCGGCCGGGAACAGAGGGGGGCAGCGGGGGGGGAGCTCCTCAACCGCTTCGTGCAGCTCCCGGGCAGGCCGCAGCCGGCGGGTGAGCGGGGGCCGGGCCCTGAGGGGGCTGAAGGAGGCCGCGCCCCCCCCCCCCCCCCCCCCCAGGGATCACCTCACGGGGGGGGGTTGGGGCCGGGTTTTGGGGTCCCTGAGGGGGTTTTGGGGTCCTGGGGGGGGTTTGGGTCGAGGTTTGGGGCCGTTTGGAGCCGCCCCGGGGGGTTTTGGGGTCGGTGGGGCTGGGGGTGGTGGTAGCCTGGCCTGATCCCCTTGGGGGGGGGTCTCTGCCGCCCCCCCACACCCCTTTTGCCCTCTTTTGTCCCATTTTTCTCCCCTAATTACTCCCCCTTGTCCATTTTCCTCCCCCTTTTCCTCTTCTCCTAATCCTAAATGTTTTGGGAGCCCCCCCCGGGGCAGGAGTGCCCCCATCCCACACATTTGGGATTTGGGGCAACCCTGGGGTCACCCCAAACCCCCCAGGAGTGGCAATCTTGCCTATTCCATCCATCCTGCGAGGCTGAGAGGAATTTGGGGCACCCCAGGGTCACCCCCTAATCCTACAGGAGGGGGTGATTGGCCTCATCCTGTGAGTCTGACATGAATTTGGGGCACCCCAGGGTCACCCCACAATCCCACAGGAGGAGTGATCACCCCCATTTTATCAATCCTGCGATTATGAGAGGGATTTGGGGCACCTTGGGGGTCACCCCACAATCCCCAAGAGCAGTGATCGCCCCCATCCGGATTATGAGAGGGATTTGGGGCACCTTGGGGTCACCCCACAATCCCCCAAGAGCAGTGATCGCCCCCATCCCGTCCATCCTGCGAGCCTGTGAGGGATTTGGGGCACCCCAGAGTCACCCCATGATCCCTCAGGAGGGGTAATCACCCCCATTTTATCAACCCTACAATCCTAAGAAGGATTTGGGGCACCCCATGCTCCTGTGATGCATCCCCTCCTCGTGCCCACAGCAGCCCTCACCCCCCAGGGCCGCAGATTTTGGGGTGCTGCCACCCCGGAGGGGTTCCCAGCCCTTTCTACCCCATCCCCACCTCACAGATCCCTTTCAGGGGGGTGCGAAGCGCCCCCAAAACAGCAGCCAGCAGCTCCTGGACCGGTGTTTGCACCCCGGTGAGTCCTCAAGAGCTGTTTAAATCCCATTTTTTGGGTTATCTCCTCCCTAAAACGGTGCAGGTTAAACACCAGAGCATCCTTTTTTATGTAGGCGCCGCTCTCCTCGCGTTCTCCCTCTCTTCTTTCTTCCCCAGCCACGAAAAATGCGTTCAAAAATACATTTTTGCCCTTTTTTTATACCCTCAAGAATTTAAATCGCGCAGGGAAACGGCGGAGAGAGGCGAGGGGAGGGCTCGCAGCAGCCAGCTAAGGAAAAAAAAGAAGCAATTTGCGTGTGGTTTTGCTGCCTGGAGGTATCTGGAAACCAAAAGCAGCTAAAATTGCCCCTTGGAGGTGGAAAAGGAAGGAGCTGCTCTTAGGTGGGTGTGAGTTTTAGAAAGATCCTGAGTGCCCAGCAGAGGTGGGGCGGATTTTGGTCTCCTCGGAGGAAATCCTCCCATCCACGCTGAAAATGGAGCCGTGGCAGCAACATTTGAGTGTTTTCCTCATGCTTTTGGGGGTTAATTGGGCAAAAATGATCTGGAGACCTGAATATCTCCCTCCCTCTGGGTTTAGGCTCTTTTCCTGAGCTAGAATTCTCCCAGCAGAGCAGTCACGATAGGGTTAGAGGGATTTTTTGGGGCAGAAAGTGTCACATTTTCTGCTACATCTTTAAAAAAAACACACCAGGAAAAAAAACCCCGAGTGTCCTGTACCTGTTTGTGTCTTGGGCTGGTTTCCCAGCAACGTGGGGGGGAAACCTTCATTCCCCAGAGCTCCTTTCTTCATTTTCCTCTTTACAACGAAAAAAAAAAGGGAAGAGAGCTGCCTGAGGCACACTCACAGTCTGTAACGTTCAATTTTAAGGGGCAAAAGTTTTTTTTTCTGGTTTCTCAGCCGGCCCCGTTCCCTCCCAGGACCTGTCCTGAGCACTGCGTGGAGGAGCCGTTCCCTTCTGCTCCCCTCCCAGCGAGCAGAGTGTTGAAAAAGTCTTCGTAAAACCTTGAAAATTGGTAAAAGGGGACGTTTACAGAAACAGCTCAGTAAAACGGGGAGTTTGAATCGAGCTTCGTTAGCAGTAAAGATCTGGGAGCCCTTTTTTTTCCTAATTTTCAGGGGCTCGCAGCGTTTACAGAGCTTTGAGGCTTAAAAAAAAAACAAAGGACGTTTTCAAACGCACGTTTGCGATGTTGGAGTCGCTCCTCAAGCACATCTGGGCTGGAAACGAAGCACAGCAGCAGCTCGTCCTTGAGATTTTGGAAACGTTGGCGACTTTTATTGAATCAGGTTCTTTTCTGGAGGTTGGGAGCCGGGCGTTGCGCCTGAATCCACCTCGAATTTCACCTCCACGTGGAAGCCCTCATCGCCGAGACTTGTGTGCTTGTCTTTTTGTGACCAGCAGTGCCTTCAGACGGCCAAAGGGAGCAGGAAGCAAGAAAAGGAGCAGGAAGAAAGAAGAGGAACAGGAGGAGAAGCTGCTTGAAACCAGCTGGTGCTACGTAACAAACCAAATCACGAGAGGTTTAGGGGTGTTGGGAGCTTTCTGTGTTTCAGTGGCTCGGGGTGCAGCAAGCAGCGTGTCAGAGCTTTATGCTCACCCCCCAGCTTCAGGTGGGTTCTTCAACGATTCTTTGGGACCGACAACAGAGGCAAAACATCAAACTGGGCACCTCCAACTTGGACTCTGTCCCCCTGGACGAGCAAAAGGATGATTTTTGGCTCCTTAGCAAGCACCAGCACGTGGAAAAGTTTAGAAACGAGGCCTTGTGGTCGTGGGAAGGAGCCCTGGCTGCGGATTGTGGTGGCTGTGGTGGTGAAAGAGCGTGGTCTGTGCCCGTTCCCAGAGTCCTGCCTCTTAAACTCGAGGCAGGCAGGTTCACTTTGCATTTCTTTGCCTCCAAAAAGCCCAGGAATCGTTTTTCTCCTGCAGCTTGCTGAGGAAAACAGCTCAGCATCGCTCTGCTGGGAAGCAGCAGCCAGGCTTTGTGGCAATTACAGAAAACTCCCTTCAAAAGTAAAAGTAAACTCCGCAGAAGCCGATGGCGGAGGCAGACCTCGCTCTGCCAAGAGCTCGTTACCGCTAATTAACAGATTAATTTCTGGTTTTCTGGCGGCTTGGGCATGAGAAGGACAGGGATATTTTCATACAGGCTCTCAAAACAACTCCGTATTCGACTCTTTCCCTGTTTATTTATATATTCTGATAAATGAATTCACCTAATTACACCTTTTCCCTTTTTTTTTTTAAAAAAATAACAGCGATCTGGCTGGCACAGCAGCTGTTCGTTCCCTGCACCCTGTCTCGGTGCTGCTCTTCGAAGAGCCTCTCACCTCTTGCTGCACTGACTCCCCCCCTACTTTCCCCGTTTAATTCTCCTCCTGTCCGACTTTGTGGAGCTGTGGAACCACGGTGGCTTGGTTCTAGGCGAGCCGACAGCTGCTGCGTAGCCTCAAGGAGTCTGATTTCTTGAAACCGAGTGTTTTTTTCCAGATTTTTCGTAGATTTCTGGAGCTCACAGGTGGAATTTAATAAACTTTGAAGCTTGTGTTGGTGAGAATAGGATCAATACTCACGTTAGGATGCAATTCAGCTTTAAAATTTGAGTGTCCTCCTCCCTGTAAGAGGGACAATTTGCCCAGGAGCCTTGTTGGATGCCATTCAGGACTCTTAAACCTTCCTCCTTTAATTTAAAGAGTTTCTTTATTCTCACTGACCCCTCTGTTCTCTTCTCCCCAGATCTGTGCTGCCTCCTGAGCTCTCTTGAGAGGTAGGGAACAAACTTCTCCTGCATCAGGCTGGGCTGTGCCACGTCAGGAAGCCCGGCAGCAGGTGCTCACCCCTCCTTTTCCCTTGCTCTCCTTTCATTTTATTCCTGAGAGGCGTGCAATTAGGAGGCAGCCCTAATGAAGTTCACCTGGGCCGTGCGAGGAGCTCCCTCTGAAGTCCCTCAGTGCATCCCTTGAGCCTTGGCTCCAGCAGGGTGTCGACAGGTCAGCGTGTGAGTCATTAAATAGAGCATAATTAAGTGGAAATGGATCTCCTCGCTAGAGGTCCAGGCTGTAGAAGCTGGTCTGATGAAGAAACTCAGCTTAATTAGCTCCTGAATACACCCAACTTGGGCGATTCCTTTCTTTAGAAGGCAGAAGTGGAGAAATCTTGGTTTAAAACTCTCTCCTAAAGTGGATTAAGGCCACTGCGATTCTGGATGCAAGAGTTCAATTGTCAAATTTAACTCATTTTAACGTTTTACTGCTTAATTCATCGATTAATACACGAGTATGTCCGCACAGGTGTCTTGGAAGACGTGTCTGATGATTTTTCCCCCGTTGTAGGGGCAGATTTGTGCTCCGTGGGCCTCCGGGAGCAGGAGGAACCAGCATTTTCTCAAGGCAGGAGATGGATTTCTCAATAAATGGGGAGAGGTGAGGGCTGCCGGGCTGAAAACACACTTGGGATGCGCTCACCTTGTGTCCAGCCTTAACTTCATGGCAAGGCCAAGTGTCTTCCCTGGTCATTATGACAAAAATACCTTCTTGGTTTTGTTTATTAATTGATTTTCTTCGATTTGAGCCCTTTAATGTGCTCACCTCGTCCAAAGCTCAGCCTTATGCCCCTCTTCCCTCTGGAAAATTCCCCCCGCGGGTGTTTGAACAGGGAAATGGGATCCACAGTGAAAGTAAAAGGAATCGGGTCTCCTTTTGGCTGCAGACATCCAGGATGAGAAGAATTGCCCTCTGGAAATGCTGCGTGCAGGATTTTCACCTTTTCTCTAGGAAAGATGCTTGCTGCTTCCTTTCTTACCGCCCCGTGCATCCAATTCACTGCTGTAATTGTAACAGGCCTCTAAGAAGAAACACCACGGGTCCTAAATAGACATTTCCCCAGGTCCTGTTCCCTCTTAAAATCCCATAAAAGAGCTGTGAGAGCAGGGGGGTGCTGCAGATCCTTTTTTCGGGGACCCGACCGTTCTCTGTTCTTTCCTCTTTCTCCTCCGTTTTTGTGGCCCCGTGTCGCACTGGAGGAAAACCCCTGGCTCTGTGCTAGCTTCTTATCAGCACTGAATCAGAACAAGCTTGGAATTTTGGTTGCTTATCAGTGAGAAATTCAGTTGCCAAGATGATTGCTGTTGAGTTTTCCCGGACTGCCATGCATGTACCGGATCTTTTTGCTTCTTGTGGTTTGAGCTTGAGCTCCCCGTAGACATTTCGGAGCCATTTCCTAAATAAATCAGCCACACAGAATGCCAGAAAGGGAAATTTGTTAACAAATAATCACTAAAAATATCTCGAGGGTAGGATTTGACATCCAAAAGGCTTCTCCTGCCCTGAGCTGCGGGCCCACTGCGGACCACCGTGGTCCTGACCCTCAGCCACAAGCCTGGCCGCAGCCATCCCCCTAAAATTTTTCTTTCTCTTTGCCCTCCAGGTCACAGATCTCCCCCTGCAAGGAGCGGCCATCGGTGCGTGGCCGACAACGCCAACCTCTACGTGTTTGGAGGCTACAACCCTGATTACGACGAGTCTGGTGGGCCGGAGAATGAGGACTACCCGCTCTTCAGGGAGCTCTGGCGCTACAACTTTGCCACGGACACCTGGCATCAGATGGGCACGGAAGGCTACATGCCCAGGGAGCTGGCCTCCATGTCACGTACGTATGGAAACGCGGTGCCTAGGCATCGACTCCTGAAGCTGCTTTAATGGGTGGCATGCAAAACCAGGCAAGAACTGGGAAATCTGGGTCTAGTTTCCATTTCTTGTACACGAAGGCCATGCGTTTGGGTCCTGTTTCCATCTCTTGTACACATAAGCCACGAATTTGGGTCCTGTTTCCATCTCTTGTCCACGTAGGCCATGAGTTTGGGAGTTTTTTTTTGGTTTTTCTTCCTCTTCTCTAGCGCTGAGGCCAAGAGGAAGAAAAAAACTTCCACGGCAAGAGGGAATCTTTGGGAATTCAGCTTAACAGCTGCGAGGCCGCTGTGTTTTCGGTGGACAGGTGCTTGGTGCAGCCATCTCAGCACCCAAAAATAGATCTCTCTTTGTTCACTGGTTGTTTTTAAAACCGAGCCCTTGGTTTCCATGGTTTTAGCTTGCGTTCTTTCTCTTTTAGAGCGTTTCAAGGCCGTGAATGTGTGGTGTGAGTTGTAGGGTAGCTGAACGGAGCCCGGTCTCGCAGCAACAAGTCTCTCTGCTCTGTCTTTCCCAGTCGTACTGCACGGCAACAACCTGCTGGTGTTCGGGGGCACCGGGATCCCTTTTGGGGAGAGCAACGGCAACGACGTCCACGTCTGCAACGTCAAATACAAGAGATGGGCCCTGCTCAGCTGCCGAGGGAAGAAACCCAATCGAATCTACGGCCAGGTAGGAGGCACAGCACGATGTGTGTGTGCCTGAGTACGCTACGTCGTGTCCTGCAGCAGGGGCCAGAGATGAAAACTTATTTTCCTTTGAAATCTCCAAGAATCTTGCAGTTTAAAACCCCAAATTTAACTAAATGCCAGATGCAGTTGAGTGAAAAGGTACATCTGATACAAGCAGTAGCTGGTAGTTTCTGGAGTTGCTCTGTAGCCTCCTCAGAGCCTTTAAAATCCCAAATATAAATGAAAACAACGCTTAATAGGAATTATTTGCATTAAAATAGCAACTTTTCAAACTGTCTGTGGTGTCCTGAATGAGCTTGATGTCCAATACAGCACAAAAACCTAGATCCACTCTCGTAGCAGCTCGGCTCGGCTCATCTGGCTCACTGCTCAGACGTGTCTCTTCTGTGGCTTTTTGCTTCTCTCTTCCTTTTTTAATCTTTTTGGCACCTTCTGCTGCTTCCACAGTATTTCATGCCATTTCTTCTGCCTTTCTGGGAAGTCCAGTCCTGTATCTCCCTGCGTTCTCCTCGAAGCTTTGAACACTCTTTCCCTTCCTTCTCCCCTTGGCTTTTAGAGCTCTCCACTCTTGCAGTTACAGAGGATTTGGAGGGATCCTTTTGCTACAGCTGCTGGATTTGTGAGCTGGTCCAAATGCCAGCTCCTGATTGCGAGGATCAGGCCTGGCCTTGCAAAGGGCTCGGTGTACCAGTTGTTGTCTGTAAGGGAGCATCACCGAGGCTTCTGCTAAGAAACCTCTCTGCTGTGTTTTAGAAACTCTTTCCAGGAATGTTAGTGTTGCCATGACACTGCTCTCCCTGATGAAAGCGAAACAAGGATTTTTCTTACAGAATTCAAGCTCTTGTGCTTTCTTCCCTGCCTCGTGCCCCAGCTTTCTCCTCTAGCCTCTGCATCCTTTTCCCCTTGGGAGTTTTTTCTTCCTGTTCCTTTTAGGTACTCATTTTGTGACCAGGATGCTACAGAAACCCCACTACATTTTGTGTATTTTCGTTTGCCCTTCTGAAGAATTTGTGGGTAGAGCTTTGCAAGCAACGTCTCGCTTCAGGAGGATGGGAATTCTTTTTCAGACGCTGCTGCCACGTTTCCTTCCTTCCTAACTGTTTTCTCTCCATCACCTCACAGGCCATGGCCATCATCAACGGCTCCTTGTACGTGTTTGGTGGGACGACCGGTTACATCTACAGCACTGACCTGCACAAGCTAGACCTCAACACGAGGGAGTGGATCCAGCTGAAACCAAACAACATGTCCTGCGACATGCCAGAGGAGAGGTGAGGAGCTGTCGGTCTGGGGAGCTTTTAGGCTGGGGAGTCTCCACTTTTATTGGGACTGAGAAGCTCAGAGAGCTTGGACGGGCTGCTGAGCACTTTTAGAGCAGTGTCTGGGACTAGAAGGGGGCTTGGGGCAGCTGGTGAGTGCTGTGAAGGGGCTGAGAGTCTGCCTGCGCCCTCTCCCTTGTCTTGTTCTGCAGCAAGGTGCAGAGGAAGGAGATTTGTTAGTGACCTCAGGGTGAGAAGAGAAAGGAGTACCGAGGGCTCTCGTGGTGCTCCAGAAATTGTTGTACTTCATGTCCAAGCTGCTCTGCTCTCAGAAAACTTCTTTCCAGCTTTAGGAGTGCTGCTTGGGTTGCTCATGAAAGCTTCCACATCTGAAAACTGCCAGCCTGAGGGACTGGCACAGCATGGGCAGGCTTGGGATGCCTCCTCAAACCACTCAAATTGGGTAGTGTTTCCAGAAAGCTTTTTTCTTGCTCGCTTGCACCAATTCCTTGTGCTGCTCAACGTCTGTCTCTGCACCTGCAGGTACAGACATGAAATCGCGCATGATGGTCAACGGATTTATATCCTGGGAGGTGGAACTTCCTGGACAGCTTATTCCTTAGATAAGGTAAAATGATCAGAAACCTGCAGGGTTTGCCTCAACAGGAGGTTTTCTGCAGTGAAACATAACCAGTGCAGTCACTTCGTCTGTCTGGAGAGCTGGTTTTAAAAAATAAAAGTAATTACTGGGAGCAGGACTGAGAAATGACAAAGCTGTGCTGCCAATTACTACACAGATCTACAGAATAGCTTTGTTTCTGCAGCTCTGTTAACAAAGATTCTTGTTTAAAAACTCTCAGGACTTATCTCTAAATCCTATAGTTGTGCCAAAACAGGAGAATGCCAAAGAAATTATTTCCTTGATATTTAATTTGAATATTGATGTGGTGACTCTTTGCTTGTCTTCTCCCTTAATCCTAAATTTCAATTTTCTTTCTTGTGGTAAACGTTTCTCCCCGTTAAAATTTGGGGAGGAAAGAGTGAATTCATCTTGGAACGGTGAGGTGATAAATGAGGAGGCTTTAAATAGCGCTCCACTTCCAAAAAAAGTTGAAACTGTAGAAGTTACCGTGACTTTTCCGCTTCATTCTCTGCATTTTTTTCTCCTTCGGTGCAGTATGAGCTAAACATTTCTAAATACCCTTGAGAACTGGAGGGTGTGGGCTTTATTGGTCCTTTTTTTTTCCTAGAAGCAATATTCTTTTTGTCCAGCTTTGGACAAAATAGCAAAGTTGAGGAGGAAAGCTGGTAGGTTTTGAAGGTGATTTGATACCTGCTTAGTCACCGGCTGCATTAGCTATGTTCATTTTTACACTTGATGAACCAGGGGTGTTATTTATAGTGGCTCCCCGGGTCAGAGTCTAGTTCTGTCACCCTGCAGCTGCGTCATCGTCGTGCTGGCAGAGCCAGGAGGAACTCACGGCTCCTCTTTGTTCCTTCAGATCCACGCGTACAACCTTGAGACCAACACCTGGGAGGAAATTGCCACGAAACCTCATGAAAAAGTCGGTGAGTCTGGAAATGTCACGAGTCATCGTCTTTAAACCAGAAAGTTTTAAAAATGCTGTTAGGTGGCAGTCTGAAAGCCTTCCTTGAAGCCTTGTTGTAGTCATGACTTAAAGTGGCTTCAGGACCCTGCTCCTTTATAGTTTTAGCAGTGAGAACTAACCCAGGAGAAGTTTATTTGGCTTCTCTCCCTCCTTGCCCATCTCTGCTCCCTCTGAGGGACCAGGTGCTGGCTTGGTTAGCGGTGAGAGTCTCCCTGAAAAGCCAGAGGGGAGAACTGGAGGCCGTGGGGAGTGAAATGCTGGCACATCGTTCTTCCCTGGAGAGCAAATAGGAGGCCAAATCTCCTGAAACAGCCAGTTGCTAAATTAGAGATGTTAGACCTGTGATTGCAGGGAAGCAGAAGCCCTTATCAATGAAAAAGGGATTCTTGTCCTTGATTATATGTTGAGGTAAAACCACCACTTGTATCAGCACTTCAAAAACAGCTAGAGTTGATACCTTTTTCTTTTTTTTTTTTCCCCCTCTCAGGCTTCCCAGCAGCCCGAAGATGCCATAGCTGTGTTCAGATAAAAAACGGTAAAGCCTGCCTGCTGAAAATTGGTACATCTTGATACAGCCTAGCAGTGACAAACCACGGTCGAGGGAACTGCAGGGCACGTGTATCTTTTCTGGAAGAGGATTTCTTTCCTGTTAACAGCCTTAAACCACCTAATTGATGCTGCTCTTCATGCGAGGGAGCTTGATTTTGTAGGCAGATTCACTCCTGAAATGCACAGTGCTGTCCCACTGTGGAATTTGGCAGGATTTTGTACAACCTACAGGTTTCCTTTGGACACGTGGCTACCTTAATGTAAAATATCATGAGTTTTAGCCACAAGTGTCCGTGATACTTTGCAATTTCTTGGTGCTGAGCTTACATGGGGGTTTGAAGGATGCTTCTGTTACAGGTGACTCACCTGTGGGCTTTGCAGTTTGCTGTGAAAGTCAAAGTGGGGCCAAGTCCTGGGAGCTGACGCTTAGCAGAGCCTTTTGCTCCTCATTTCAATCCTCCAGATGTTCCCACTGTACAGAACTTGCACAGTGCTCCTTGAAGCACAGCTTAAAGAGGGCCGTGCACGTGCAGTCTGCTTCAGTTGTCCCCTTTGGGCCTCTAAAGCAGGGTTTGAACCTCTTCCATAGCCTCATTGTCCCAAAGAATGCATTTTCCCAACCTCGATAAATAATATATTAGCTCATAATAGATTGAAGAAGTAGTTAGAGTTGATCCTTCTTTTTAAAACCCTTTTCTACTACTGAATGATGGATGTTTAAACGTCCTGAGCCACGTAGAAGAGTGTTGTAGCAGACTATGTTTCTTAGGAGTGCTAAATATGGCAAAAAAGTAAGGCAGGAGCTGGGGGATGCTTCCAGCCACCTTCAGCAGCATCGTGCAGGTCTTGGAGTTGAGAATTTGTGCAAAAAGCCAGGAGCTGAGGACCTGGCCCTGGTGCTCAACAGCCTGGGGCCAGGGCTGTGACCGATCCCTGGGGGTTTACAAACCCTGGAATCAGCTCGAAGCTCTGAATTGAGGCAGGTTAGGGCTTGCTGGAGCTCCTTAAAGCAGAAATCATCCCAAATTCCTGGAATCATCCCGAATTCCTGCTTCTCAGAGGCACTCATCCCTTCATCTGCCGCAGTGGGGCTGGGTTCACAGGCTGGGAAGTGGCCTCAGTGGGGTGGGACTGACTTGGGAGGTGTTGAGAGCTTGTGCTGAGACAACTTAAGTGGTGATCCTAAAACTGTTTAGCAAGGTGCCTCACCTGCAGCACATTTTGTGATTCCCGAGGGATGTAAGCACTGCGGCTTTCCTCTCTCCTGCAGATGTGTTCGTTTGCGGGGGCTATAACGGAGAAGTGATTCTGGGAGACGTCTGGAAGCTGAACCTGCAGTCTTTCCAGTGGGTCAAGCTGCCAGCTGCCATGCCTGAACCCGTGTATTTCCACTGTGCTGCCGTCACACCGGTAAGTGACTCACTGCTTGCTCAAGTTCAGGGCGTTTGTCCAAGCTCCCTGCCGCTTGCGTGGGCTGCAGACGGGGCTGAGCAGCTGTTACCACCTGGCTGCAGCATCTTGAGGGAGGCTGAGAGCTGCTCTGAGGTTACTACACCGACTGCTTCTGTTTGAAGAGCTGTAGCACAGAGTTTCTGAAAGCGGCGATGTGGGATTTTAGCTTTTAAACTGTGTTAGCTCTAGCTCCAGGAAGTAATTCGGTGCGTGAGCATCAATTCCTGTTTGCAAAAGGAAAAAAAACACACACAAAAAACACCAAAATACACAAATACTCCCCCAAGTAAATGTTCTTGCCCTGAATTTGGCCTCCAGAGCACAGCTAGGGTTGGAAGATGAGCAGCCTTCTGTGGAAAAATTACTTTTTGCAGTATCTTGAAGCAGAGTGAGGTGTGACTGACAGGCACCATGAAGTGCATTTACCTGTGACTTCAGCCTCCTGTACCTAATCATCACCTCAGGGAAACAAGAGGACGAAATGCTCAGGCTCCTTTTGTTTTAGTAGTCAGCATCTCGTTTAGAGGTTGTTATAAATGCAGCTTTTTCTGGGAAATCTAGGCTGGTTTAACGCATTTACCAAGAAAGAGGTAGGTGCTGGGAGCAGGACTGCCCTTTCTTTTTCTGTACACCAAAAAAAATGCCACTCAGAGCAGGCCAGCAGCCAAGCTTTTCCATGTCTCTCTACCTTTGTGTGATTCCTGGAGCAGGCTGGTGGTGTGCTGCTGAGCCAGCAGAGGGAACAGAGCATCTTGTGTGTTTTTTTTTTTGACTTTTTAGCTAAATATATTTTCTTAAATGTAAGTATGGTTGTATAATAAGTTATCATCACTTTGCCCCAGTCCTAAAATTGATTCCTTGGGGTAGAATTCACCTAACAAAACACTGAGTGAAGCCCTAAGCTGCTGGATTTGTGCTTCAGGGTGAGGGGAGCATGCCCTCAGCACTGAGATTCCTCCCCTCAGCTTTGAAAGGAGCCCAGAGAGAGTGGCTCAGGTGGCGACACCTTCACTGAGGCACATAAAAGAAGTCAAATCCTGATTTTTCTGATGGTTTCATGCTTCATACCTTCTGGTTTGCCATTTCTGCTTGTCTGTGCCCCCTCTAATTTCCCTCTCCCCTCCAGGCTGGCTGTATGTACGTTCACGGCGGGGTGGTCAACATCCACGAAAACAAACGGACTGGCTCCCTCTTCAAAATGTGGCTGGTGGTGCCCAGCCTGCTGGAACTGTCGTGGGAGAAGCTCCTCAGCTACTTCCCTCGCCTAGCAACTCTCTCCAGAGCTCAGCTCTTGCACCTTGGACTGACGCAGGGACTGGTGGAGCGACTAAAATGAGACCAGCTCGTGCTTCTGCCCCGTGGCCAAAAAAAGGCCCCTTCCCCTCCCCTATTTATGGATACTGCAGATGGTCTCACTAAAACCACGGAGAGGAAGCTGCTCAACGCCTTACTCAGCAAATACATCGATGCCTTTCTAGAAATTTTTACTTTCAGTTGTCGGAAATCCCCCTTTTTAATTTATGGAGCTCGAAATCCCCGCTGTTAATCAAAAAAAAAAACACTCTCTGGGACTAATTCATGCCATCCTCATCAGCACCCGCTTGCAAATCTAACAGGGGGGTGGGCTGGGGAAGCTTCATGAATGTCAGCCCTCACGCTTCCATGGGGCACATCCACCTTAGCATTTCCACACGAGCTGTACCTACCCGAGGCCATTCACTGCAGAACGACAGCTGCCCTGTTCTTTTTGCTCTGGGTGCCGCCCAGCTGAGCTCTCCCTCTATAAAAAAAATGAGAACTGCTGCCCTTTGAAGGCTCTGCATGTGTTTTGTGGGCACGTTCCCAGCCTCTTTGAGCTTCGGAAGGGGGCCAGAAGGTTGCACGAGGAGGAGCTGAGCGAGTCTCAGCCCGTGCAGCGGTTCTGGTGCTGTGTGTGTCGATTTGAAGCGCCTGTGTCTGTGTTTTTGGCCTTTTCATATTGAAAGGGTTGCTTGGAAGACCGGTTAAAAGTTACCACTTACTGGACTGCTGTGTAGTTTACTTGGGGTGCTGGGGGGGGGAAGATCCTGCTGCAAAGAGGGTGAAAAGTACAAGAGGAGGCTGGGGGGAGCCCTAAGAAGAGGCTGCAAGAGCTGGGGCTCCCCTACAGCCCTCAGACCCCTAAGGAAGCTGCACAAAGCCAGGGCCACTTGTGACACTGGTTCAGGTTCCCCTAAACCCCCATCTGGCTTCCCAAATCTGATTCTCCACCACTTACCTGTGAGTTTTTTGCTTTCCTCCCTCCTACATGCTGGAGCATTCCCTTGTTCACTTTTTGGTCTGGGGGTGGGGATGTTTGTCCTTCCAGGAAAGGCAGCATTAAAAAGAGAGAGTGAGGGAACATCCCTCACCCTATAAGCATTCATCCCTGCCCCAGCAGGAGAAGGGATGTGTGTCTGTCCCTTGTCTTCCTCTGCTCCATTTACTGTGCCCTCCTCCTCTGAGCTCCACCTGCTGGCACCAGGTTCATGCCAACTCCCTCTTTACAGATCATTTTTAAAGTGCCCCTTTTTTCTTTTTTTAAAGAAAAAACCCAAACCAGCTTTTCCCAATCCATTCCCCTTCTATCAGTTAAGACAAAGGTTCAGTTCTGCACGTTTTTTTTTTAATCAGATTACACTTCTGTTGAAATAAACCCTGGCCTTGACTTCACCTCATTAACCCTGCCCTGCACTTCCTGATAAATCCAACACCCATCTTTGGGTGCAGCCACTGGCAGTGTCACCTCATGCCCTGCTGTTAAACCCTTCCAGTTTTTGGCTGTAGATCTGTCCCCAAGTCCTACTTGCTGTTTTTTTCCAGACCCAGCCCAATAAACAACTCCAAGATGGGCATTTTGTGCTCTCTGAATGTTTTCTCAGCAAGCTGGCAAGATTTGGCCCTGCTCTCCTGCCCTGTCCTCTTCTGCAGCAAGCTTCTGGGATGGTGGTGGTCAAGGTGGACTTCTCCCCACCTCCAGCTCCCTCTTCTGGCCTGAGCTCCGTGGCTTTCACCCCCCAAAACTGGATGCCTGCACTGGATCTCTGTCCTGTAGCCTGTGGGTGAGCTGGGGAGGTTTTAATGAACCAGGCTGATGATCCAGCTGCTGGTTTTCTCCCTTCCCTCCCTCAAAGGAGGCTTCCCATCATCACAGAGGATGATTCAAACCACCTCTGCTCAAGCTGCCTCCTTGAAGTGACTTCAGCTCCAGCTGCCTCCTCATCCTCTGTGCTCCAGGGGTCACTGACATGGACCTGAGAGAGGAGGAAGGAGCTCAGCTCCCCCACTGGAACAAAGGAGAGGTGGAGAGGAGGTGATGGGGGGGTCTCTGGGGCATCCCCACAGTCACTGCTCACCCAAGGGGACACAGGAGAGACACTCAGATGAGACACAGGAGAATCTACCTGCTGTCATCAGCTTCTGCCCTCCCATCCCACTTCTTTCTGAAGTTTCCCTTCTGCCCCATGCTCTTGAGTCCATCTGCTGCCACCAGCAGACTCAATACTCACACAGGAACCTTCCCAGACATCACATTAAGGACAGGATTTCCCAAACTGATGCTGTATTGGGAAAAGGAAGACCTCAAAGCAACATCTCCAACCACAAACCAGCACACACCCCCTTTCTGGGCAAGAGGGGGATCCCAGGCTGCTGCCTGTCCCCCTTTAGTCTGTTTTCAGCCCAATTTCTCCATCTGCCACAGGACCTTTGAGCACTGCTCCCCTCCTGCTTCTCGTGCAGGGTTCAAACATCCCTGGGGAGCCACAAGGGGTTGAGAAGCACAGGAGCTGCGGTGCCTGCTTGGGTGGTGTTTTTTTGGGGGGTTTTTCCTCCCTTCCAAGCTCTGATAATTAAACAATCTGCCCAAATTACCCACTTTATACCTCTCACCTCAGCTGCTGGCGTTCCCCTTCACAGGAGCCGGACCCCATCATGGTGCCACCACCTCTGACCCCACACAGCACCCAGGGGAAGCAGCTCAGGGCCTGGAGTGGCCCTGACCAATTTAAAAACCTCTGAGGAGGGACCCGGGACGGTCACACAGCCCTCAGGACGTCCTGGTGGCTCTTCACCCATCACACGGTGAAGGACCTCCCTGCTCCTCACCGTGACCCCAAAAGCTCCACTCACCTCCTTGGTGGGCACAGAGGGGACCGTGAGCTCATTGAAGGAGAGAGGAGCTCGTTTCTGATTCATACAAAACTGCTTTAATGACAAAACAGCTGAAAAAAGCCATTTGGTGTGGTTCTGGTACCATCAAGGAGCCCTGCGCGATCCCCCAGGCCATGGGGAAGCCGGGATGGCCCCGGCCCTAAATGGGGGGAGGCTCTTCTCAGGCACCTTCTCCCAGTGCAACACATCCCAGGGAGGGGTCCATCCTCGAGACCACCCAGAAATGTCCTTCCAGACCCTCCCCGAGGACAATTCTCCTCCCAGCCACGTAGACAGGAGCCGGGAATGCTTCTGTGAAGAGTTGGGGCCTTCAGGCTCCTCGCTTCGGGAGTTTCAGCAGCGATCCCGTTGCCACCACCTTTCCCCACCACTGCAGCTCCATTCACACCCCCCACATGGGGGAGGAAAAAAAGGGACAATAGCAGAAGCTTTGGCTTCAAATAACACCTCCAAAATCTGATCCAAGTCCCTGAGATGCCGGAAAATGCCCCGGGGGGCGCTGGCCCAACATGGAGGCCACCAAGTCCAGGCCTCAGCAGCCGCTGGGCGACGGGGCGAAGAAGTACACGGCCAGAAGGATGAAGTAAACCATCACCAGCACCGTGCCTAGGAGACAGAGCAGGATGGGGACGGGGTTACTGCCTGTGGTGGGGAGAGAGCTCACTTTTAAGGCCTTTTGGGGTGGTTTAAGGCCTCTTTTAAGGCCTTCTGGTGCATGCCATAAAGGACTCGAATGGCTTTTTACGAAGTCCTGGTGAAGTCACCACCACTTTGGGCTTGAAGCAACAAGAGGTGACCCCAAATGTGGCTCTAGAAGTCCCCCACCCCATTGTCACAGGGAAGGTGGGCACACCGAGGCCTACAGCACCCTCACATTACCTTGGAAATAATCACATTTGCCATCCATGAAGATGTAGTTCATCAGCACCACGCTGAACATGCTGGCGTAGACGTGGAGGTCACTGAAGACGAGGGTGAAGTTGGTCGGCTGCAAAGCAAAGATTTTTTTTTTTGGTGTTTATTTGGGTTTACGGCCAACCAGCGCAACCCCACAGCAGCTCGTGTGTCCCTTCGGGTCCCCTCCACCACAAGTCCCTAAGGCTGGGGACAACGTCAGCCGAGGCTGGAGGCATCTGAACCCACTTCCCCTTCACTGGAGGGGACATTTGCCACGGGGTCCTGTGTCCCCAACCCCATCAGGGGAGACCACCCAGGGCTACTCACGTAGAAGATGGTGAAGAGCACCAGGATGGGGATCTGGAGCATGCAGACCTGGACGGCGATGCAGTTCCCGATCTCGATGCTGGGAGGACAGAGGGGTTGAAGGGGTTGAGCACCAGGTCTCTGGCAGCCCCCAGGAGCTCAGCTTTGGGGTGAGGACAAAGCCACCCCAGGGAACCCACTTGTGGAGAAAAACCTGGTTCTGGCCCCATTTCTTGTGGTTTTAAACCCACTTTGGAGCCCGTAACCGCAGGCAGCTGCCCTGCTGGCACCATGGAGTAGGGCAGCCCATCGCTGGCAGTGCTATGGGGCTTCAGTGGAAGAGGACACCCCAAAATCCATGTGCTCACCTCAAGCTCAGGTTGTTCTGCAGGGCGAACTGGATGCCATTGACAATCTCTGGCAGCTCAGGCACCATGGCCAACACCGTGACACCAATGAAGTACTGCAGGAAAAGAGGGGTCAATGCATGGTCCAATCCTAATAATACCCAAACCCTGCGCAACCACACATCCCCAGCACGTGGAGCATCTCAGCATCTTCTCCCCTAATATCACACAGATTTTGGGGCAGGTTCCTGGGCTGGAGGAACCATCTGCAATCCTCAGAGCCACCCGAACCAGGCTTGCCACCATCCCCACGCTCACCTGGGAGATGGTGGAGTTGGTGAGGATGGGGCTGATGTGCTCCGTGGCCAGGTCGGCGCAGGCCGACATGCAGAGGGTGGAGAGCAGGAGGATGACCAGTGCCCGCCAGCGGGACCAGTGAACCACAGCGCTGTGGTGGTGACCAGGCACTGGGGGGAAGAGAAAAATTAAAAAAAATACCGGGTTGGACACCCTGGAGAGGTTGGAGAGCCATCCACGAGGCCGGGCATGGCGTGGTTTGGGGTCACTCACTGTGACAGTCGCTGATGTGGATGTCGTAGATGTGCGAGTGAGTTTTTAGGGTGAAGAAGAGGCCGATGAGGTACGCGGCGGGGAGCAGGAGGGACACGGTGTACACCAGGGGCCTGCGGGATGAGGGTGCTCAGTGCCACCGGGGTCTGGCTCTGAGACCCTGGGGCATCCCCGCACCGGCTGGGGACGTGGTGCGGGATCAAACCCCTTTGGGGTGGCACAGAGGAGCCAGAGAGTGCCACCCCCAGCGAGGAGAAACCTGTCCCCCCCCCGACCCTACTCACTGGACGTGGCTGTAGTAGAGGGTGCCATTGTTCTCCATCTGCAGACGAAGAACATCAGTGAGGACACGGGGCTCGGGACAGCCCCGCTGCCACCTCCTGACCCCAAATCTGGAGCCGGGTGGGCTCAAGTGTGTCCCCCCCCCCACTGTTGGTGGCCCTGCTCACCAGGTCAAAGTGACAATTGTGGCAGAGGTAGTGGCCCAGCGGGTTCTGGGTGACGTTGTGGCACTCCCCACACACCAGCTTCCCATACACCTTGGAGAAAAGCGTCGGGGCAAAGACACCTACGAGGACAGAGGGACACGGGGTGGGTGCCCACGCCGGTGGCACCCCACCGAGCCTGGGGACAGCCCTGTCCCCACCTCACCTCCAACGGAGAGGAAGAGCAAAGCCGAGCTGACCCCCGCCGAGCGGCTGTTGAAGCGCTGCT